TACCCAAACTCCTCACTGTGTTCTAAGTTAGCCAGCTCACCACACAGCTACAGCTAGCTAAAACAGTCTGCACAGTCCACTCCACTGACGACCGCTTCATTCGGCTCAACTCAGCTCTGACTGTTCGTGCAATGTTCGTCCACTTCCCGTAACCATCATTTCAAATTAAAAGCCTGGCGACATATACAGCGGAAACACTGCAGGGCATGTTGACTTAATCAAAAGTCAGACGTTTTTGGCTTCTTTGATGGAGGAAAACGTTCTGGGTTCTCTCTCTCCTCTGCTGTGCTGTTGCTGTGCACACCGTGTTTTGTTAACTTGCATCTCTGATCCGCATAGAGGAGAGTCCAGATCACATGACTAGAACATGACAGCATGGTGGGAGCTTGTGAAAGCAGAGCTGATCTGCATATTAAAACCAATCTCTGGTAAAATGTGTTTGTTGTTTGCAGTGACAACACACGTGTTTTGCAGTGACCACGCTGGGGCTCCGAACTGGTTTAAGGAATGTCAGTGGAAAATCAAAAATGAACAGTATTTTGTTCAGAACAAAAACACAACTGAAAACATGGTCATCCTAAACTGTACTGGAACAGAAACATTCATATGAAATCTCTGTATCATGCATCATATTTTCACTTATATTTTCACTTAAGATCTGTGTCTTCAAACTCCCAGATGTCACGCTGTAGATTCAATCTATAATCACAACCTGAAAGCAGACAAGTAGTTCTGGTTTTTTTTTTTTTTGTACACGCACATGATTTTGTTTCTATCATGCAAGAAACCATTTAGCCAGGCCAGCTTGTCTGCGCATTTTTCAACAATTTGATTATTAACTTTAAATAATTAATAGATTATTATGGGCAGTTTCATAGCTCAATGTTGGAGCAGTTTACTGATTAACAAACAGTATCTGAGTTACCTGTTTGTGGGTATATGCCCTTATCAATACGATCACAACTGCCCAGGCTAACAGCTTTCCAGACCTGCTATTTTATTATATCAGGTCTACATGCAGGCCATATAAAAGCAATAGAATTCATTTATTTTTCATTGTTTTAACCTGCTTAGGAAGACCTTAGTCTTTTGTCTTCATATCACCTGCTACTGAAGACACTAATAAATCATTATCACTGTAACTGGGTATGAACTTTTTTTTTTAAAGCAGAATACCCAGAGGCCGCTTGAAGGCTGTCAGAAGGTTCTGGAAGCCTAGCTAAAGGAGATCCACTGACAAAGCACCGAAAACTGACTGCAAATGCTTTTAATGACTTAATGAGACTTAATTGGACTTTTAATGGAGAGATGGGAGGGAGAGCAAAGAGAAAAGCAGCAGAGGCGAGAGAGGGACTGTGCGTGTGTGTGCGTGTGTGTGCGTGTGTGTGTGTGCGAGAGAGAGAGAGAGAGCACGGGAGAAAGAGAGAGAAGCGAGTGAGGTCAGATGGGGTGAGTGTGCCTGTATTGTGGCGACACTGCACACTCTTACACACACACACACACTCTCTCACTCTCTCTCTCTCTCGCTCTCTCTCTCTCTCTCTTTCACTGCCTGCTGTTATTAGCTGATGGAAACTAGGCCAGTTCCTCTGATGTAGCCCTCCTAAGCCCCCCTTCTTTTGTACCTTTCATAGGGGCAGGATCATAGAGACTGGTGTTATTTGCGCTCTCTCTCTCTCTCTCTCTCTCTCTCACTCTCACTCACACACACACACACTAGCGTGCATGCAGACTAATAGAGTATCCTCATTTGGACTGATGCTGGCCTTTTCTAAGCCAGAGGCACTATGGCCTTGTTTTCACCCATAAACCATAAACTGAGCAGGATCATGCAGCCTCCTGCTGTTGGACATCCAGAGGCTTTTGTGTGTGTGTGTGTGTGTATGTGTGTTCCCCTCCTTTTCTTTCTCTTCGTTGTGGTCCTGCTCTCATTGCACTCTGTACAGCTTCACTGGCTCATCACATTTAAACCATTCGTGTATTGCGCATACAGGCAAATTAAGGGTGGACAGTGTGATATGTTATTGTTATTGTGATTAATGAAGTCCCGATACACTTTTCTGAGTATATCGCAGACACTGCGTAAAAAGCAGCACCGCTGTTTTGCTGATGCAGTTTGTTCGTTCCAGTGTCGCAAACCACAGAAGAAAGGTTTGCTGTCATAAATAACCATCCACATTTGTAGAAATATCATATATATGCATATGAAAATGTCAATGTATTTTGAGGTAATATTTCTGCCATATAAAGGGAACGTTCACTGATTTTTTTAAAAAATATGTGCATAATTCAATGGTTGAGATGTAAACCATCATTCACAGTGGTCTGACATGAAATGATTAATTGAGGCAAAACTTACAGACTTGGATTGTCTCAAAACAGTGGGTAGTACAGTGGTATAAAAGTGAATACTGATATGGGTTCTCTCAGCTTATGAATTTTGCCTTACTGTAGATGCTATGATAAGCCCAAACACAGTGAACCACAAACAGTGCAGCCCCCGAGACAAAAAAAACATGAGCATGAACAGCTTAAATAGTCTTATACACTCAACAAAATCATGTTTTACACAAAACAGCACTGCTGAGTGCTTCTTGCAGCCACTCCTACATTAATCAGTATAGGTTCACGCAAGCACATGCACAAAGCAAGTGTGTTGTTGGGCGTGTGCCACATGCATGAAGCATCATAAACACCTTCAGTTTTGCCAGTCATGCTGTGCGGTGTTCGCGTGTATTTTTACTTTGCGAGGCTTTTCTTTTTAACTGTTTTATTTTGCTCTGTTGGACCAGAGCCATGACTCTGTGTTGGAGAAAAACAGATTTTTCCCGTGCCACGTTTTATGTTTCATTTTTTCCCCAGCATGTTAAATTCAGCAAATAAACAGTAATTGTGTATTATTATGTGCAGAAGTATGTTCTGTGTAGAGAATGTATTATCTTATTTTCACTTGACCAGGGATGCCCAAACTTTTGCTCACCGCTAAACCTCTCTACCACAAATTTTACAGATTTTAAAATATATTTTAAGCCAAAGCTTTATCTTAAAACTGTCATAAAACAATGTCTTGGGCATCAAGCAAGTTGCTAACTTTCTGTGAGGGAGCCTTTAGAGGCATTAAACTCTTCAGACGTCTGGTTCCCATCACCACCACTGTGAACAGTTCTGACTCAGCAAGTTTCTTTTTCTTTTTTCTTTTGTATTTTACATCAAACTACTCTGAATGATTTTGTTTACATCTTAAACATTTAATTATGCAGAAAAATCAGTTTGAGAAAACAGTGGAATTCCCCTTTAAAATGAATTCTCTGTCTCTCTTCTTATTTGCGCTGCTCTCTATCTTTCTCTCTCTCTCTCTCTCTCTCTCTCGCTCTCTCTTTTTACCTTATTGCTTTTCTCTCTCTCAGATCACATGGATCTCTCGTTCTGTTACACACACACACACAAACACACACACACACACACGCACTCATGCACACATACACATGCGCACACACACACGTACTGGTTGCGGGGTCGGCTCCCACTTTAATCTAGGAAATAATTCCGCTTCCCATTAGCCTAATTAATCGTGGGCTTTACTGCAGTGTGCAGTATGTGAGAGCAGAATACCAGCTCGTGCCTGTGTGTGTGTGTGTGTATGTATGTGTGTGCAGGGCTGCGATCCTGCCAGCGCCTCTCTGCCGACAAATAAAAAAATGATGGCCGTGTGCAATCTGGTGTGTAAGAAACAGTCATTTGCTTGTTGCAGGTCGCTCTCTTTTATGTCGCAAATGTCTTTTAATGAACAAGTGTGCACTCCCGCCATATGGATTCTGCTGTTTTTGTCTTGCCTGGCTGAAAATGCAGCGGAATTGGCAGAAACATTAGGAGAAATATGCCTCTGGCGTCGAACGGCTGGCAGCATCAACAGGACCATAAATGTGGTGTGTTGGATTTGTCAGATGATGCCATGTTGGTATAGGTGCATGTTTATCACCCACATCATTGGTTTAAAGGTGGAGTAAGCAGCTGTGCTTTTGGAAGTGAATAAAAATGATTTCTTCAACAATAAGCAGTTTAATTCATTTATTTGTTAGGAAATAAGCACAGGCTGTTAAATTATCCCCCTCGTTTTTGTGGTCTTTCTTTTTGGACTACATTGAACATAGATCTGCATGATATGGGCAAAATATCATTTTGTGATTTGGTTGCTGTTGCTGTGACATTCATTGTAATGTGATTATGTTGTGTTTGTATTACCACCGTGGCTACGTTCTTAGAAACGCCTACCATGTGGATCACATTGCTGGTGTACAGTTGGAGACTTTGGCCCATGTGTTGATGCAAAATTTGCGTTAGCCATCCTTTAAACCTTCATCAGTGATCAGTTTCTGACCCCAGAGTCGCTCTTGGCTGACTACAGTCTGTAATTGTACATCTGTATAATGGAGTTATAACAGAGATGGACCTCTATGTTATGTACCTTATATACTTGAGTATATAAGGTACATGACTTTAAAATGAGTTTAAAAAAGACTTTTAACACTTAATGTGTCATGGCTGAACAGTATATTGTAGGGCTTTAGCAATTAGTCAGTTAACGATGTTGACGTTGATTGTGAAGAAAAAAAAGGCCAATGTAGGTTTTATTGTTTGACATATATGCTTTACAAAACACTACAATGTCCATTAATATATAACAATCTGTATGTTCATATGAAATGGGGCCAGTATGGATTTCATTGTTTCGATGCACCATAAATGAAAAAATTGCTTGTCATACTAACAGATCTTTAAAAGATGGTGGAGGAAATTAGGAAGGCATAGTTTAGATTAGTTGGTTAACTGAAGAATAATGTATTGCAATGTTGGCCTTTGTTGATGTTGTTATGCAAATATGTCCTCTAACCAATCATAGTGTTGTTTTTTTTTTTTACTGTATACAGTGAGCATCTTGACCAATCACAGTTGCAGATGAGTTTTTCATGCAGCGTGTAACATAACTGTCTTCTTTGCAGAGAATCCTGTGTCTGTGGAGCTGAGCTGCGGGGCTGGTCCCGTCCATGTGGTTTTGGAGCCTCCTGACCCTGTGCTGCTGGACTGCCACCTGGGGGCCGCAGATGCTCCGGTCAACGTCACCTGGCTGCGGGACGGGGCGGTGCTGAGTGAGAGCGAGGCCGTTCAGCTCCTCCACAACGGCTCTCTGCTGGTCTTGCCCACCAGTAGAGAGGTGGAGGGCGCATACAGCTGCCTCAGTGGCAGCTCTTTCGGGGCGCTGACCAGCCGTACGGTCACTCTGCAGCTGGCCAGTGAGTTTCTGACTGCAGTAATGCTGATCTATTACAGGCAGAGTGGCACATGCTGCTTTTGCTAAACACTACATACATATTGCTGTTTCCTAACCATTTTGTGTGGAGCTTGTGGACAGTGTTTTGTGAGCTCTAATACATTTGATTCAGCTCTTAAAATGCTTGATAATTAGCTGATGATTCAGGTATTGAATCAAGGACTAAACGCTTCATTACTGTGGCCCTCCAGAAATGCAGCTTGTCATACATACTTTATTATAAAAATATAATAAATAGCTGGATGCACTGATAGAGAGATGAATAAATAGGTGTCGTGTGCATAATCTTGTTGAGACTTTTGAGAATATGTCAAGATCGGTAGCACTTCAGGGATATTTGAGTGAACAGATGGGAATATTACAGTAGCAAGTTGTACCAACCTAAACATGACGTGCTAATTTTATAGTTGTTAGTACTTGTAGTGGTAACTAGTTGATAGTAATAAAAAAGACTCACATCAGCCAAAAACATCAGTTGTTCAAAATAATGTGGCTAACTGCACTGAAACTACGACTAAATTACTGAATTCTAATCCCTTTGTTACTTTTGCATGTAGGCCCACCTACATGCAAAACATGCATAGTTACTCAGGAACAGATGAGGTAAATCATCAAGGCTGAAAATGCATCACGTTTTTCAGAAAGAGTTTAGTGATGGAAAAACTCGCACCTCACCACAAACTTTTAAACAAGCTGTTTATCTTTTATCTTAATGTATTATTTTTTAGCACCTTATACATTAACATTTAATTTTAGAACTTGTTACCATTATTTTAGCATTTTATTTCCAACTTGTTACTTCTGTAATTACTAACTTATTATTTAGCAACAACTTGAAAATGAGCATGTATTTTTTTTAGTTAGCTTGTTACCTAATATTACCCTTTCATTAGCTGGTTATTACTGATTACTAAAGTAAAGTGCAACCTCAATCAGTAGTTTTGAACACAGTGATTGCCATTTGATGGAGGAGATATTACCCCATTTTCTGAAACCAGTATCAGTGTTAAAGTGTTATTGGCTGATTTTGATCCGACATTTTTCTTTTAAAAACTGCTGTGCTTTATTGGTGGGAGATATACTGCTTTAAAAGTTAATACCAGTATGACTTTTTCTCATGAACTGGTTTTGGTGTACTGTGAAAACAAAATGGCTAACCACAGCAAAAAGCCCCACATCTGAGACAAGTTAAACATGAGCATTTACAGCTTACAGTTTCATGCAAATGACATGTTTTGTTGATTTTTCTAAGTGAAAGTAAGTTAACACGTCCTCTACAGAGGATGGAACCGTTTCTTTGCCTCGTCAGATATCAGCATTTCCTCCTGATATCAGCACCATACTGATACTTGGTATGGGTACCATCTCTATGTATTGATTATATCAGTACCAGTTCCAGAGGGTTTAATCAGCATAGTCATTCAGATTGATTTTACTTGATGATAAAGCTGTTAGAACTAATGCTTCATGCCATGTAATGTTTGATCATGCACCAGAGGGCAAGCAATTTAAGTCCATGAACAAGAGATTGAAGTTCATGAGCAAGCCGAGACCCCCCAAAAAAACCCAACAGTAGACAGTGCAGTTATTGTTCAGTTCTAGAATTCTGGTACATACTGATTTGTGTTTGTCTACAGAGAGAAAATGAAATTTTTACAATATCATGAAGCTGGGACCAGCACTGAATTGCAGCTCCTACTGTACAATATAGTGTTTAGTCTTCTAGATTCTGCAAGAAAAGTAAACCTCCACCTACGCCCCCCTTTCTCTCCTTCTCTCTCTGTCTTCTCTTCCCCCTCTCTTTTTCTCAAACAATGTAATGCTCTTATCCAGAGCTCTAGAGCCTCTTTGCTTGGCTGGAGCTGAGGCTTGTCCTCACCTGGCTGGGGATAAGGACTCGATTGTGCTCTATTGTGCCATTGCAGAGGAAGGGGGACCATATCAGACTTCATCCCCCTCTTTCTCTCTCCCTCTGTCCCCTGCTTTCATTCCCTCACTCACCTGAGTTTAAGGTCACTCTCCAGACAGGGGAGATGCTTTTCTTTCAGTCATTATCCTTTTCATGGTCCACCTCTCTCTCTCGCGCTCTCTCTCTCTCTCTCTCTCTCTCTCTCTCTCTCTCTCTCTTCATTCCTATTTATTCACTTTGGCTAAATGGCTGTTATGACAGGGCTGATGATACCTGTTAGCTCTGGCGGCAGGACTGATGGGAATTACAGTTTTGGGAAGAGTGCGAGATAACCTGAAGGAGAGAGACAGGAAGACCATAAAGAGGAAAGTGTGCTGGCGAGAAATCCTCAGGACAATTAAGAGCGTCCTTCAGAGGTTTGAGGATCTAATCAGCTGCAGGGCTGGTGAGTTTGAGAGATGGACGGGTAGATGAGGACAGGATGGACCAGCCCTGCAGGAGGTGGCTGGAGTGCCGCTGCGTTAGTTAATGAGGCATTTCAGCTCTGCAGAGGCTCAAATTTCACATTTGCCAAAACTATCATAGCAAGTCTCAGTGTGCGATGGCTCCATGTCAAATATGAAAATGAAACATAAGAAATAAATTGATGGGTCTGTTGTCTAAACTTGTTGTTTCTCCCTTTTCTTCTATTTCGTGTCTCTTCTTGAGGTTCTCACCAGCACAGTGATATCTGAATCGTATCAGTATTGCCAGATATTTGCTTAAAAAAAGTGTATTGGCAGAGAAAAGATGGTTATATTTGGCTGATATTTCAAATCGATATTTGATGACATTTATTGTATTCTGGAAGAGCAGAACGTTTAGTCTGCACTGGCTGCTACGTTAAAAATCCCTGCATTTTATTCGTTTTCTGCATTTGTAACCGTAGAGAAATAAATGTTATGTCTCTCCATAAAGCTCATCCAGATAGATGTAATTCCCCATGAAAATACTGGATGTTGGCATTGACCCAAAATTCCCACATTGGTACATCTCTAGTAACCTGTAATTAAACATTTGAATGTGTCTGCAGGGAGTTGCAAAGTCTTCTTCTGGAGCCAATCCTAACTCTGTGTACCTCAAAATGCAATAACAGAGACTAAATTTGCATTACGTATTTTCTTTTTAGGTTCATCATATTTTCTTTCTTCATTTTCTTACTTGTGTGCTTCTGCACATCATCTATAGCTCGTATGCTTCTAGTGCTGTCTATTTTCTGTGTTTATGTATTTTCATATCCTTGTAGCGCCAGTCTCACAACTCTCCTGGCACCACATCATGACCCGCACTGGGGTTGTGATTGTCAGGTTACCCATGTTTTAGATTTAATTAAACCATTTTATGACCTACTGCAACATTTGTGAGTCTCCCAAGTCTAGAGATTAGATCTTTCCTGCACAGTGTTATAGCTTTAGGATGATCTTGCTACTGGGTGCTTTTGAAGAACGCATGCATTCTGTTAATATATTCCCAGGCATTTAAACTACTGTAGATGTTTTCACACTTGACTAAGTCCCTGTAATGAGCAGTGAAACATCTTCAAGATGTCCGTTAGGCTTGATTCAGGACTGGACTAAAAACCTTCACAGGAATTTCATGTAGACATTTTTTTTTTAGAATATTAGCAAAGAAAACTGAGAGAAAAATTCTAAGAGTTGCACATTCAGTATTGCCTGCCTGCCATATTTTTGTGTTGAATTTAATTTATACGTGACATTGAATGTGGCAAAATGGCAGACCTCAGTCAAACTGATTGGATCCATGCAAAAGAGAGCACCAAGATAGGATCTTTTGAATCTATGGTGTGCAGTAGTTTGGCAGCCACATGCATACAGCACTTTGGGGGCTAACTGACTTGTCCATGGGGCAGCAACAAACATGTGCTTTTTAGCAATGGTTGAAAGATTGAACAAACTTGCATAATGTTGGCAACAATCACATTCAGCCTATAGAGAAATTGTAGCCCTGGAATTTAATAGTAGTTAAGTGAGAAGGGGTTCAGTTTGAATGCAAGCTGTGTGTTTTTTCTGTATAATTCTAGAGAGAAGCTATAAAATCTGCCCTGCTTGCCTGCCCAGCACCTACTGCACAATAGCAAACAGCATGACTGACAGAGCCAAGAATTTAATTAACAAATTTACTTACTTTCTGAATCATGTACAAAAACACAGCAGTCCCATTTTATATATATATATATATATATATATATATATATATATATATATATATATATATATAAATGTAATTCAATAAATGTAATAAAACTATCATGGGACTGCTGTGTTTTTGTACATGATTCAGAAATTAAGTAGCTCTTGGCCATTCATGCTGAGGAAGTCATCCTGTTTACCAGTGCTGTCAAAAGTTGACCAATTAAGCTGACACATTCGCATGTACAGAAGTTTGCACATGCACCATGTACATACAACTTAACTTGCAAAATAAACTGTGTGTTTTGGTACGGCTAAACATGACGTGGCCAGGCATAAAGATGTTATTCTCTGGAAAGAATTTTGCTAAATTACTCGGAACAAAAAAAAGACCATTTGATTTAGTTCTTTAGACACAGTATACCTTCTGAATGGCCGCTGCTGAGAATCCTTTTAGTCTGAGGATTGCTGTAACCTTACTTTGTCAGTCATCTAGCTATACAACAGGACTGTACAACAAATTAATCATCCTCTAGTCCTTCATCTGTGGTCATGCATGCCTGCAGGACGCTGTTGGGTGGATGTTTTTGCTTGGTGGACTATTCTCAGTCCAGCAGTGACACTGAGGTGTTTAAAAGCACCGGCAGCACTGCTGTGTCTGATCCACTCAGATCAGCGCAACACAGTCTAACACGCCAGCACGTCAGTGTCACTGCAGTGCTGAGAATGATCCACCAAAAAGGGGGTAACAAAGTATGCAGAGAAACAGATGGACTACAGTCTGTAATTGTAGAACTACAAAGTGCTCCTGTATAGTAAGTGGAACTGATAAAATGGACACTGAGCGCAGAAACAAGGTTTTAA